GTGTGTTTGGTTTTATATATATATATTCTTCACAACAACTGGAGGAGGCAGATGCTATGCTACCACTACTACTATTTTACAAATAAGGAAACTGAGACACAGAGAGGTTAACTAAATTGCTCAACGTCACACAGCAAGGAAGCAGCAGATCCAGAATTTGAGCCCGGTTAGTCTGGCTCACAGCCCATAGTTGTAATCACTGCCTTCATAAAAACACAACAGTGCCGAACAGGTAGTAAGCTACTATGTCAGCAAAGATCATCTTCGACCAAGCTTGGCAACTGCTTGTCAACTCGACAGCAGAGGATGGGTGGGTTTTCTACTGAGTGTTTGCCATATGCCAGACTCTGCTGGGGGCTTTACTTGCATTATTAACTCATGTTATGGTTCAAAATCAGGAAAGGCATACATACATCAGGGTTGGATATCAAGTATCTTCCCATATTCCTCCAGGAACAGAGATATCCCTGCTTCCTTTAGTCTTATAGTTCCTGCAATGAAGAAACTCTCTCCTAAATCTAATGCAGGGATACATGTCAGCTTGCACATCAACTCAGTGGATTCATAGTGACTAAGGCATTGTGTGGGAGCTCTGGTAGCGTAGTACCTAAGGCACTTGACTGCTAACCAGAAGGGTGGCGGTTCAAACCCACCAGCCACTCCTCGGAAGGAAGATTGGGCAATCTATTTCCATAGTGATACAGCCTGGGAAACTCAAGGAGGGGTCACTGAATTGGGTCCAACTCCATGGCACATAACAACAATGGCAACAAGGCATTGTGTTGAGAAACTTTCTAATTGATTAGCAATGTCTACCATGGACATGAGTGTTGGGACGGGGTGGCTATATATTTGCTGTAACTGAAATAATTCCTCTGGCAATGAAAATCCATCCTCCATGGTTGTAATCTCTAGATGCTGGCCATACTTCTGTCCTTGGGAACCTGTGTCTTCTGGCTCAAGTACAGAGCCACCCAGTTACGGTCTCTGAGACACACTCAGAGGACAGCAGACAGGCATTGCAGTCAGGTGTCATCTAGTATCCCTGCCTTCTCGCCTCTGGCCAACAGCACTTCAAGGAGAGAGAGAACAGGCCTGATGAGCAATTGCCACTTTGATGAGATTCCCATTTCCTTCTTCCCCTGCTTTGAGTTTTCAAGCAAAGTTGGGAAAATTCAGGACTCCTGGGTCAGGCTCAGCATGTGGGGAAGCTACCTGGGCTCCTCCCCCACCACCCCACCACCATCACGGGAGTGGGGATTCTGAGGATAGACTGTGTCCTATCTCCTCATTTGCTCCTCTGCGGCAGAGTCTTCAGTCTGGCTGTGACAGGCTCAGGGTCACCCTTCTGGTGCAGGAAGGACTCTTAAGTCAGGTAGGGCCATGATGGAGGGACCACCCTTCCTACTAACTGTAACTGCCCAGAGCTATTTTATCAGCAGGCCCAGGAGCCTGTCTGTGGAGATGTGGTATGGGGAGGAGGTTCTAGGGTGGGGGAAGTGAGGAATCTTTTGGCTTAGTCAAAAAGTACAAGGGGGAAAAGAGCCCCATTTCTAGCAGGGGGTGTGTCAAAGTC